AGATTCGTTAAAACGTTATAGCAAAAATGAGAATTAAAATCTCTGGCCATTGAATGTTTATGTATTAAAAATCTCGAAGGAAATGATGAAGTGATACGATTCGTCGAGATGAAACAAATTAGAATGAATATCTAAAGAGTGATACCATGAACGAACTCAATTGTTTATCACTATCAGTCTTGTGCCTACTGACAGGTACAGTTAAACTTGAAATGCAGTACTAATATTTATTGTTTACGTTAACTGCCTAACCTAACCTATTCTTGTTTCGTATCATAACAAGTACGAACTCATTAATGTTATCTTCGTATTTTCTGCCTTTGCTAAGACATTACTAACAAAATAACCTATGCTCATATAACATTCTTTTCTCATCTATGTTACAGAACATACTACCAAAGTTTGACCAGAAACAGACTTTCTGCATACGAATTATACAGCTACATATAATCGAGCGGATTTCATTCTCTTTTCAATTACACGATAACTTCTATCTACTAAATATTGTAAAAGGAAAAACTACGTAAATTCCACGAGTATGACCGAAATTAGAAGTAAGAAATTATTGCTACGTCGATCATCGAGACATTGTACATCAACATTGAGCATCGGAATAAGGTATTCCAAGAGTGAACGAAAATCGATCGGAAATCGTCGTGACCACCTGTTTGGTAAATCCAATCCAATCTTTTCTCCCGCTTTACAGAATACATTTTTGCGGCGAAAGAGCGGTGTCTAACGAAACCACGCATACGGAGACGACGCACGTCGGACGCATTCACCGGAAATGAGTCCAGGAGGAATGGGGAACCTCCTCGACGGTTTTCCGCCTATAATCGTGTACAAACGTTTACGCAACGTACATTAGAGCTATGCGTATTCCTCGCGTATTTCGTGGAATATCTGCGTTAAAAAACGAGGATAAGGACGAGGGCAGTTGTATCTGAAGGGGCTGGAGGAGGAGGAATATTTACATACGATACTGGCAGTACATCTTCGTTCTGTTCTGTTGTTTCACGGGGAAACGCGAACTCGAGCTTTTGCCGATCTACCACAAATCGTGCTTGAACGAAGATCGATCGCATTCCTTATTGTTATCTCGTCTGCTGAAGAGCTCGCGTCCGTGCAAACGACAGAGCTCTCTTCGCTTCTCTGCGTCCGCCTCGAAGCGGCTACGCTGACTTTTTGTACAGGAGATGATTGTATCTAAGCGGACTTTGTTTACAGTTCTCTGGGATTTCGTTTCTGTCGTTTCGTCGCTTTTGAAC